TTATGAGAAAAATATATTGTCTTTAGCACGGCGCCTCGTCTTGATTCCTTTGTATGTGACTATTGATGCGTAATTCGCAAGTCGGCTATTAATTTATGGTGACAAAAGGTCTTTGATAAGTGACTCCCTCACGAAACGATCCCGAGCCGTCCAATCTATATGCGCCGTCTTATACCATTACACCACCGAGTTTCTGATGCAATTCCTTGGAAGATAACATACTTATAAAACTTATGAATTAGACTCATTAGGAATGCCATGAAAAGCAAACAAAGACATTTTGAAAAGCTTTTGTTTCAGAAAGCCGTTCGGGAATTGGAAAACAACAAACGGTGCTTCTTTATTCAAAATTATGAAAACTGAAAAACTTGGTGGAGATGCAATAAATCAATATATTTCTGTTATATGTATTTCCTTCGCTTTTTCCCCTCCCGAATAATTAATGAGTAACGCCTCGGACTGGAACTAATTGCGCGGACTTGAAACCCCGTCCAGTCCTCATTGTCGGACTTTAAACATTACATCAATTCGTTTATGGTGTGTCATTCCTTATTGTCTGAGCACCTTAGAATCAACTACATCGAACTGCATTGTTTTTTAGATGAAACATTACCTGCGTCTTGCAGTTCACTCTCTGATTGACTGTTGTATCGTTCATCATCCATTACTGGGGTATCCTGGTTTGCCATTTTTTCAGCAAACTCCTTGGACTAAAAAATTCCAAAATATTATTGTGTCTGTGACATCGTTTTTACAGATATCAGGAGTGCATTCCTGTGCCTCGTAATGAATCACAAACTCTTACCATTTTTTTGAACTTTCTACGCCATTCTTCAGTATCGTCTTCTTGCTTTGCGAGTTCAAGGAGCTTTCGGTTCATCTCGCTTGCCAAATGATCTATCAAGAGAAGATCAAATAATTCGTAGACTATTGGTTAGCAGCGGTCCGTATTCTAACAGTTAGATGGAATGATTTTTTAGATGGAATGTTACTCAGTAATTATAACTTTGTTTTTCATTGTCATTAGCTCTGTTTTTTTCATTTCTCAAAGGATTCTAGTCATGTGGTCGCACACCACGAGTCCATCTTGTTTCATGAAAATAGCTAAGCATTATCAAACATTGGGTGGATGTTTCAAAGTTTGATGTTTATTGGAAACAGTGGTGGAACTCAAATAAACCGAGCAAACATTGAGAAACAGATCGAAATCAAGACAAAGAGATTAGTCTTTTTTAACTATTTATTACCTGATTGTTCATTTCCCTTTTTCAACTCCTGCAATATAAGAAAGAAATAACAGAAGAGATAAATATAAAGTAACCATAGGTATTTTTGAGGAGGCCCAGAACAGTAAAAAGACATTCAAGTCCCAGCTTGAAGGAAACTTCCTAATTTTTCAACTTTTCAACGACCTTAGATTTGATGAACATCATGCCTGGAAGGTGATATAGAATGTATCCCAAAGGACATAAAATGACGTCATTACAATATTCAAATATATATTGAGATTAACATGTGGAATTTCATCAAAATGTTTCAATAAGGCATAATACGTGAAATTGTATAAAAATCAAAATAGCACGAATGCGGAGCATCCATTAAATCAACATTTTTCTGTTTAAGTTAAAAGTGTAGTACAAACAAATATGCACTGTGTCTACTCTATAAAAATATCGTATACTATGACACATATAAATTGGATTTTTGTCATATTTGAGCGATTTTTACCCAACGTAAGTGTTTTTCCTTACTTACCGAGAGTGATTCATTGTTCGTCGTCACGAAGCAAGCAAGTGCCAATAAGACCAACAATGGAAGAGGCCTGCTGACGCCTTCCATGTCTATAATATCACAAATAAATACTTTAAAGACATATTGATCAATTTGAAGACGAACAGTTTCAATGAAGTGATTAATGGACTTTTAAAATCATTTAAATTGTACAAAGACAAATAGCAAAAATTTGCACTAAATCTGCTATTGAAGCAGAACACCCTTTGACACCTCAAAGCGTGAAAAGGTACTAATAAGTAATGAAAAAGATAGCAATTCAGTGAAGATTAGACAAAGGAATTACCATAATTCGTAATGCACTCTACCTTGTATCCTTCTCAACTTGTAGTAGAACCAGTAAGAGCAATGTCAATCTCTGAATGTCACTGATCTAAATGCACTAGTTCATGGTCTTTTGATACTACCAGATATTCTATAGTGCATGTCATACCTGCCAGACACTGGTCATTTTTGGCTGGTCATTTGGACAAAAACCTTGGCATTTGTGTGGTAAGAGAATTCATGTCAATGGTGAAAAAACTTATCGATTTTAATTTCTTACATTTTTTTTTTTCATACCACGATGCATAAGCCAACCAGATGTTAGGAAAGATTTTTCATATTCTTTTCACCTTATACGTTAATAATATTTTTTTTTTGTTTTAGAGTGAATATTAAACCAGGGATCTAAATCCACTAGTTGATGGTCTTTTCATTCTACCAACCATTCTATAGTGAATGTCATACCTGCAAGACACTGGTCATTTTTGGCTGGTCATTTGGACAAAAACCTTGGCATTTGTGTGGTAAGAGAATTCATGTCAATGGTGAAAAAACTTATCGATTTTAATTTCTTACATTTTTTTTTTCATACCACGATGCATAAGCCAACCAGATGTTAGGAAAGATTTTTCATATTCTTTTCACCTTATACGTTAATAATATTATTTTTTTTTGTTTTAGAGTGAATATTAATAAACCAGGGATCTAAATCCACTAGTTGATGGTCTTTTCATTCTACCAACCATTCTATAGTGAATGTCATACCTGCAAGACACTGGTCATTTTTGGCTGGTCATTTGGACAAAAACCTTGACATTTGTGTGGTGGCAGCATTGATGTGATCAACGGCGAAGAAATTTGCCAATTTGAATTTCTTACATTATTTTTTTTTCATTTCACAATGAGCTAACCAGCTGTCAGGAAAGAATTCCATGATTTGATGAAGCTCTTGTCTGTCGTTGATAATAATTTTTGCTTTGAGAGTGAAATTATGAAACCCTCGATCGAAACAAAATTTGGCTTTTAAAATGTGACATTCAAATAGACACAAAAGAAAACAATGCAATTAGAGCCTACAATAAGGACATTACACGGTTGCGCGGAGATACGGAATTTATCTTCAAGTTTCCCATTGTTTTCATTTGCTCATTCGTGAGATGTTAATGGAACACTGGAAGATAAAATCCATATCTTTTCGCGCCCAAGTAATGTTCTGTTTATTTACAAAGTCAAATTCAAATTTTTTATCTATATATAAGACAAGAAATAAGACAATAATGTCCTGAGTATTCATGGTAACGTGTTATTTTCACAAATGAAAGATATCACCTTTTCTCGCTAGAGATTTCTCAGAATTTCAATGGTGTCATAAAAAATCTTTATCCAACGGATAAATCCTTATAAAATAATTATTTTTCAAGAGTATAACTTCGTCAGTTATCGTGTGAATTTGAGGCTACATATTATGATTCAATGCTAAAAATTTTGCTATTTGACGACGAATCACGGTTAATTTTTCCGAATCACATATTACTGAAGCAAGAAAACGCGTAACAATCGTTTATTTCGTTGAATAGCCGACAGGCGAGATGTTTTGTCTCAGTAGTCACACACAAAAGAATCAAGACGAGGCGCCGTGCATGAAGTTCAAAAAATTTAAAAAAAAGACAATAGTTTTTCACAATTTACTGAGGTTTACGCACGCTGCCTCATGTCAATTCTTCTGTGTTTTGACTATCGAGGCGAAATTCGCATATCGGTTATTTGCTGTCTTTCGTGCCCGTTTGTCCGTTTTTCATGTATTAATGACAGATTTGTTAACCAGGATTGATATTTTATTTTTTTCCAAAATTGTACCTGGGAGATTTTGATTTTGAATAAGGCATGTGTGGCTGAATTTCAGCAAGTTCCTCTTTGTTACATAAAGAGATTGAGACAACCACGACTAAATAACAACTAAAAGACCTAAAACGCTTAGGCAAAGGTAATAGGCCATAAGAAGCTTCCCCTCTTAAGGCCCCGTCCACACTAAAGCGTTTTCGTTTGTATCCGTTTTCAATAAGTGTGAAAACGTATAGATTGAACTGCGTCCACACTAGCGTATTCAAGCGTATCAGTGTGGACAGTTGAAAACACAAATACGGTCATATCGATCAAATTACATGTCTTCTGCGATAAAGAAAACTCAATAAAACAAGAAAAAAACTGCTCAAGACCCTTTCATCTGGGCAGATAATGAAGTTGAACTTCTGTTAACAGTTACAAACGAGTAGAAGGTTTCAAAACGTACGAAAGCGTGGATTGGGAGTCAGTCCAATGTGGACAGAAGGGCAAAACGCATACTTTTCGATTCGTTTTCAAACGAAAACGCTCTAGTGTGGACGGGGCCTTACTTCACAAGAAATTGATATTATATACGATAAATTGTTGTTTAATTACTTCACACTAAAGAAAGAAATATTATCAACGACAGTCAAGAAATGGAAATTTCTTTCCTTACGACCGATTAGCTCATCGTTATATGAAAAAAATCAAAAAAATCAAATCGATAATTTTTTTTTTCAATATTGACATGATTGCTGCCACCACACAAATGTCAAGGTTTTTGTCCAAAATGACCAGCCAAACATGAACAGTGTCTGGCAGGTATGACGTACACTATAGAATATATGGCAGTACCAAAATACCATCAACTAGTGCATTTAGATCAGTGTCATTGAGATATTGACATTGCTCTTACGGGTTCTACTACAAGTTTCAAAGGATACAAGGTAGAGTGCATTATGAATTACGGTAATTCCTTTGTCTAATCTTCACTGAATTGCTATCTTTTTGGTTAATAATTTTTTCCACTTCTTCGGTTCCGTAAGTTCCAGATTTAGTAAACCTACCTCTTCAAATTGATCTCCATTTTCTGTATTTTTTAATATCAGAGAGATGGAAGGCGTCAGGCTTCTTCCATTGTTCGTCTTGCTGACACTTGTTTGCTTCGTGATGGTGAACACTGAAACGCTACCGGTAAGAGCAAGGTTTTGATATATATGAACGCTTGTGTTGGGTGGAAATCACCGAAATATGACAAAATTTCATTAAAAAGAGAGCGTATTGAATATTTTAAAGTTGTTTATACTATATTGATAATAAATTCAAAACAATTGTCATTCAATAGATTGGGGTCCATTTCAAACAGCACTTTGTACTTGCTTTATATATAGAGAATGAGGTGATTTTATTACGATGGACATCTATTTTCGAACATAAACAAATGCTACTAAAGCGATGACTTTGGGCAATGGCCATTTATGAAATTTCGCACAGGTATATTGGCATATACCTAAGTATGTTCGATTATTATGATGTAGTATATGTCTTTACTTGTCTTTGGGTAACTATTCTATGCCAACCCCAAGGCAAGGCGTTTCACGCAACTGAAAAGTCCCATTGAAATCATGGCCTCGACTTGAAAGTCTCTTAGCTATTCTGGACTGTATCAAACATTTTTACGGTTCATTTTTTATTATCTTGTAGGAGTTAAAAAGTTCCAAAGGAGATGGCCATTCAGGTAGTAGAATAGATTAGTTAAGCGAGGATTAATGTTTAACTTGATGAGCTGCGTTATGCTATGGTGCTCTTCGATACAAACCCGTTTAGAATGTCCCCCGTATGTTCCATTATACTTAACTACTTCCATCCGATAAGATGGTGTCTCTTTTCATGGTTTGGAACTACATGGCTACAGAAATCCTTTTAGAGCAAGGCTATTGCAACCATGTTGGACGAATAAACAAGAGTAACTAATGAGGATTACTTTGTTGTCTTTATACAATATGGCGCTTACTTGTCTTCTAATACAACTAATATCATGACTTTTTTTAATGACATTTTGAAATTAGTTTTTTCCGCAGTCCGGTTTTAACCACTCTCAGTGCCTTAAAGGCTTAATGAAATAACATGCTTAAAAAAATCGAGAAAAAAATAATTTGATTTAATAAGTTTGTTATATAGTACTGTTCCTTTAGAAAAAATATAGTGAAACAATCGCATATAGACTGCTACATACTAACAACTTGTCTACTAACTATTTCATCGTCTCTTGACAGGTGATTCGGCGACCGAGATCGACCAAAAGCTCCTTGAACTCGCAACGCAAGAAGAAGATACTGAAGAATGGCGTAGAAATTTCAAAAAAATGGTAAGAATTTGTGATGCATTGGGAGACAAGGGAGTGCACTCATGGTATTCGTAACATCGATCACACCATGACCATGAAATATATTGGAATTTTGTAGTCCAAGGAGTTGGCTGAAAAGATGGCAAACCCGGACAACCCTAAAAATAATGACGAACCATACAACAATCAATCAATTGGTAAACTCCAAGACTCAGGTAATTTGACTACCAAAAAATATAAAACTATATCCAATGTACAATTTTTTTAAAGAGATTGTGACTAGAGAATGAGAACACCATGATAGAATTGATGTGAGAATATTTGTGACTATTCATTCTACTTTTGACTTTTTCGTACATACAGCTCGTAAAAAGAAGCTCATTGCTTCAGTCAAAACCAAACTTTCCACGTTCAGTGGTCCATTGCCATCTCGTGCTAAAGACTCCTTATCAAGTTTAGATAAAAAATGGAACGATCTATCCAATAATAACAAGAAACGTGCCCTACGCACTTTAAGTGTAATCAATTCAAACATCAAGGCGTATGGCAATGCTGGTGAAGACCCTGTAAGTGCTATGAAAGCAGCGATTACTATCCTTGCCTCCATATCCAGTAATTTTAGACCAAAAGGGCAGCTTGCAAATACGGCCCCTGGTTTCGCTTCTGCTTTTCTTGGCTTGCATGGTAAAAAAGGAAAACAGTCCTTGGAATTATTTGTCGGAGAAATCGATGGCCTTCTAGCGGGAATACCCGGGAACGATGACGAGCTCATCAGAAGAGGAGACGGTGTGCTTACAGCGTTAAAACAAACTAAAGTGTACTTAGATGGAGTTTCAAAGTCGAAGAAACCCTTAAGTACAAAGGAAATGGCTTTGGCCACACATGAATTGAAAAGATCACAAGGTTTACAGTTTTTGGGAGAGCTTGCCAGTAAAATTACTCAGATGTTCGAAAATAATGACGCTCTCGATGGAAAACAAGCCATTAGATATTGCGAGATGTATGCAATCCTGACAGCATTCCGTGACATCATCCTAACACAGTATATTAGCATTATACCGACCAATAACAACGACACTTCATCGCAAAATAACATTGATGGGGTATTGGCTGATCAAGTGTTGTTTAGAAAATTGGCAGGAAAGGTACTCGGTAAGTTTTATGAGGTGGACTACGATAGTGCGATCATTCCATATTTTGATCCAGATGTCAGCGTCATAACAGACACCTATTCAACTAAGATGCTGAATGTGGCTAATTACGATCGTACTATGACTGGTTTATATTGCCTTTCTTTATTTATACGTAAAAATAATAAATTTCACAAAATGGTTTGGCGAAGAAAAGATAAAAGGTTCCAACCGGATGGCAATCCTTACACAACCATTACAATTGAGTATTACAAACGCTGTCACTGGAAACTAGTGCCACATGCGGGAAACACCTACAGCATTGTGACTAAGTACAAAAGCGAAGACGAAAAAACGCCCGATTATAGTGGCTCGTTTTTATCATGGACAGTAATAGATCAAAAGGCTTATGTGGACATCAATGCAAAAGGCCCCATTTTGTGGGAAATAAAAGGACAATCTAGTAGGTAAGTTTTCAGTTAGAGTCTCTTACAAAATTCCCTTCACTGCATTTTTGGATTGTGCACGTAGACAATCGGAGAGATTTCGTTGAGGAAAACGTTTTTCACAAGCCAATAGGCTTGATTGTTTTCGTAATCCAGTGTAATGCAAATAGAACATTTCTCAAAAATTTTATAAATTTCTTTAAATGTGAACATAAATTGGTCCTTCAACATTAAGCAATTATTTTTGAAAGTTATCTGAATGTTTTTATGATATTTCAAGAAGCTGGAATTCTATAATTTCCAAAACTGGCAAAATTACGGAAAGTACGTTGACTTATTTATTTTTTTCATTTTTTTGTTGCTGTTGTTACAAGATATGGTATAGAATTAGCAAATCGATCAGTAAAATGTGACTTTTCCTCTAAAATAAATTTACCCGTTAATAATTCAGGTTCCAAAGATTTGATACGAACGCATAGAATAGAAACATGAAAAATATTTTATAATCCTTGACTTAATCTGAATGTGTTACTAACCGTTTCCACCCGCGAAACGAAATAGGAATCTCTATTCAACAAAATTAAATGGAAATCTTTATTCATCAAAACGTAATGGGAATCTGCATGGATTGTATTCAACGAAACGAAACGAGATTAGCTTTCTAGATGTACAACAGTTTTTGACAAATCTTTGAATTCGTAGACACAGTAAACATCACAAGGAAAGGTAAACGTGACTCATATTCAGGGGAGGTGAAAAAGGGAAATTCCCCCTCCCCCCTCTTTTTCTCACTAAAATTCCTGTACTCTAGATTCCTTTTTTTAATCTTAAAAGTTCACGAAAAAATATTGTTACTATCTTTGAAATATATTTCTGGATCCGCCCCCAATAAGGGTAGTTGACCAGCTTGGAATAAAGGCTATGACTCCTTATTCTCTAAATTGAAATTATGGATAGATTAATTCTAATTGTGCTAAGTTATTCAAAAGTCAAGTATACCACTTTATCAAAATCATAAATTTTCAAATGTTGGATATAATTGTCGCTATGCCAGCGATGTCAACAACAAGACCACTTCAATCTTCATCTAGGAATACTCCTGCGTGAATACCATTGTTTTCTTTTATCGAGAAGAGAGAAAATCTCTTTGGGTATCCGTCAACTCAGACTCGTTACTCAGCTATATATTCGAAATATCGGTTTTTAGTTTTACATATAACTACATATAACTTGTGGACTATTACGAATACTGCATTCTGATTGGTTACACTACTCGGGGTCTATTTTGGATATTCCTCGGATAGCGAAAAGCGACAGCTTTTTGCCTACTTTCGCAAAAAAAAATCTTAAGTTATTTGTATATTTCATTCATTTTTGTCCAACGTGTATGGTAATACTAAAACAAAATTAGATCTCTCGGCCTCATGGTCTATCAGGTCGTAGTCCACTCGCCCTCGAGATCTAATTCTTAAACATTTTGGCGTTATCTCGTCATGGAAAATGCACTATTTGGCTTGAAACAACAACCTTTATGACCTAAACCAATGTCGTAAATGCTCTTACACCAATGAATGTTTATGAAATACAAAAGGACTCGAATCTCAAGAGAGCTCCATTTCGGCGATTACAATAACCCACACGGCTTACTATAATCGACGAAACGAAACGAACCCTCTCCCTTCCCCCCTCAGTTATATCCATTATGTTTAGAAAATTTACATATTGGAAAAAAAAGCCAACATACGTCATAACAATACTAATACTGGAACTTCAAATTACTACAATTAGAATTAGTCTATCCATATTTTACTTTGTTTCACAGTACAAGTATAAACAGCGAAAGACTATCACAGTGAACGATGAGGTTTGATAGCTTTTACCGTAAGCTCGTTGGCTAACCAGATTGAGTCACATTTGCATTGCCATGCGTGATGGTTTACTGTGTCTACGCCTAAAGATTTTTTAAGTAAAGCTACAAGTAATCTCGTTTCGTTTCGTTGAATAAGATTCACAATTCGTTTCGTTAATTATAGATTCCCGTTTCGTTTCGTTGACTTAGTAAGCCGATATCTTCATGGATAGAGAATGAAGAGATGATACTGTTTCTTTTTATATATACGATGTAAGAGTTACATACCTCGAACGTCGGCAATCAGCCTAATACATCCCGAGGGCCGTAGGCTTATTTCATACTTGAGAAGTTTTCCAAGCACTGCATTAAGAAGCCGAAGAAGAAGCCGTTTTCATATAAATTGAAAACCAAACCCTCGATTAGAAAGATTACGAAATTTACAGTATTGAAAATTCCCAACGGGAATAATTTGCATAACCAATTTTCTCGTTAGTCCCATGAGACCAATGCTAACAATACACCTTTTGTAACAAGTAACTGGACAATGTTAAATAACTGTTTTATTCCATAACTGACATCGATTAGTAAGTTAGCATAACGTGTTAAGTAACACACGATATTTTACCAGGCCACCCAATTCAGCGTAGGCTGGTTTAAATGGGGGCCTGTACTCTCACACTCACTACCTCTACATTAAGTATTTTAGCACACAACACTCCTCACATGTTGATTTTTGCTGAGGGAGGAAAACCGGAGGACCCGGAGAAAAACCCTCGTGGCAAGGGAGAGAACAACACATCAAACAAACTCAAACTCACATATGGTCCGTATAGGATTTTCAAAGCTAAGGTTGTGGGTTCGAATCTACTTGGTGTCTTTTGAATTTTTCTTTCTTCCTTTCAAGTTTTAAGTTTCAGACGGAAAATTTCTAAGTTGAACGTAGTAGTTAATTAGGTGATTCAAGGGCAATATACATTAGTATTCAAGGGCAATATATAGATATTGCCCTCAAATGGGGGCGATATCTAGATATATCCCTGAAACTTCGATATAAAGCACTTGAATACACAATGAGCTGGGGAATAAGCGAGATACAACACTATGAACTATAACAAAGAAAACTGAATCAAGTATGAAATAAGTGTGTTTAATTATCAAGTATAGGGGATATGGGTTGGTGAATACCCTTGAAAATGATATTTATCTTTAATAATATTCCTTCATTTCGTTCTATTTCAAAGAATTAAAAACAAAACGGGCTGTGGTAAGAAGAAAAGTAAATGGTGCGACTGGGAAATGGGGATTAAAGAGAGAGCAATTCAACCTTCATTAAAAAAAGATGTTGGACAACTAGTACCTCCAAATTCATATGGAACTCAATGGCTGTTCAGAAAGGTACGAATCTTAATCATATATTGTTAAAACGTTGCTTGTGTGATGTGGCGCCTTCTATTGAAGGTGGCTTTCATCTCCCACGTCACCGTGTTATGATAAAGTATTGACAATTATATTCAAGTCATTAAAGCATCTTATTTCTTCATTTTGCAAATGAATTTCCTGAATGATTCCCAGGCGTCTGTCTCTAATTTTGTTCTAATAGTGATACAATATATTCTAGTTCCAGTCTGCAATAGATCACGAGGGTATCCCTGGCCGAGAGCGAATCATATACACTGTTCCTCTTTTCGTTTGATTCAATCTTTCGATGACCTTGATCTTTAACAAGGGATATGTGACATGTACACCACTTACTGAAATCTAATTATAAAAATTCATTCTTAACACAAAGAGAAATATTTCCCATCAAAACTACTTCCCTTTTTCATTTTCCAACAGCATGCTTGATCGTGAAAGCTATAATTGAATTGTTATTTTAGTACGTTCACTGAGTACGAATACTGCAGACAGAAAATGGCTAGTTGCTATACTTAGTAAAGAGAATATAAAATTCTAAACCAAATCAGTTTTTCGTTAGATAAGGAGTTTACATAGTAAACAATTGCATAATACAACTGTATCAAAATACACTGTTGTCCATATCCAACCTCTTTCTGCAAGTAGTTATTCATTTATACTGAATTGTCCTTTTCTTATACTTTTTAGCCAGGTATCTGATATGGCTTCCACTGATGATGATGTAAAGCAATCCTGATAACTATGGATGCTTCTGAAAATAATGATAATGAATGTTTACCGAATAATGAATCTTATGATTAATAAAATTCAAACATTCTGTAACTATACAAAATCTATTATTCTGTGATTATGAATGAAATGAGATAGTAAGCCTTTCTATTGCCAAGATCAACCAGTAATA